GTTTTAAATAATTTTTGTCTTATATTGGATTAAGTACTTTATCAATGAACTGTAGGTACATTATTAGTTTAAACAATACATTCAGAGATAGGTATTAAGTTACTATTTTCTTACGTAAATAATAAATATTGTTCGGCGATCGCATAAAAGATTGACGTGATGTGAAAAATCGATTGATTTCTTACGGATATTCTTCACAGTCATGAACAACGATTAATATAACAAATCATAATACGGTGTTTGTAGTAAAACATGGTATGAACAATGGTACATGTTATATATTTTGACAAAAAATATCTATATTCACAAATCACAATGTGTGTGTAATGTAAATTTTAAAAACGTAAGACATCTCGGAACGTATTAATAGATAATACGATAATAGATAATAGATCCCCTCATTTACCTTTTTCAAAATTTATAGTAACATAAATCATAATTTTAAAGATTAAATTGGTTTTAAAAAAAAAGGAATAACACCATAGATACTCATGAGATAGTATACTGACTTATTATTATAATATTTATTCTGATGGTTGTAATATTAACACCTTAGTGGCAACTGGCACTAATTTTATTGCGGTACGGGATGTTGTATCAATAGTCAATATTATAAGTACTGCATTCGACGTTAATTGATCATTGAATTTAGTTGAATATCTTTAGTACATACATTGGAATTTATATTTTCTCCACTTTATAGGCAGCCGTTATTATAGTAAAATATACGGGCGTTTGGCCAACTTGGCTTTTGTTCAGTTTTTGGGCGTATTAGTATAGTTTATCAGAATGAAATATATTGTTTGGGAATAAAAAATTATGAATACCTACTTATAAGTTATAGAGTAAATTTAGCTTATAAGCCGTACAAATAATAGGGACCTATCCATATCCTATAATTATTTAATTTGTGTTATTACAGAAATCATGAAGAGACGACACTCAGAGGCCTAATGGAATGAAGGAATCCACAGGCTTTTTCGGCGACCCGGTAAGTAATATAAATAATACATAAGTTTAATATACGTTTTTAACTTTACGACTTTGAGGGTTGAGTCGAATAAATACATTCTGTTGGAGATATGAATAACTCGTTCATAACAATGTCGATTGCTAAACGGGTTTGAGTAACACGTAGAATTATTTATAAAAACCTATAGAGTATTAAAGATACTTGTAGAAAACCTGTTTATGTTTCCCGCCAATATTTTTGATATTGAAAAGGAACACAATTTTTATACTTACTTAATTGATTCTAGATATGTATGCACGTAAAAGCATGCTATGCATTACAATATTGAACCATTTATCATATTTTTAATATACCTAAACTAATCAAAACTTATAAAAGTATTTGGTGAATGAGTAATGACAATACCAACAAAAAATAATTTAGAGAAAGTCGCTATATATGTATATCGTGAGTATTTGTAAAATTATTAGCTATTATAGTGTCTACATAGATACCTATATTGTTTTTACTTTTTAACTAAATTTTTAACTTAACCGAATTATTTAAATAAATAAATGAACAGATAATTATACATAAATAATACAAATAAGCAGGTAACCTATATTATTTTATCTATAATAAATCAGTCGAAATATATTATCAACACCCAAGAGATCATCCAGTAAATAAAAGGAGCTGACAATTTTTAAAATTTTCCTTTTATAAACTAATAGTCTCAGTAGCAGCATACCGCATACGGCGTACGCATATGTCATATATATACTGATATACATGTAAATAGTATCTCTTCATAAATAGTACATGTTGTTATATAGATGCTTACAATATTTTTTTACTAATAGTTGTTCATGCTAAATTTAAACCTTTCTATCCGATATTTTCCTTATTTTTTTTTCGATTATCAAGTATTTAAGTGGTATATTTATATTCTATATTGTTATATATACTTATATGTCTATATTAAGTTAAACGTATTGAAGACTTGCTTTGATAGATCATATTAAAATATATTAATATATTGGTCTCGTGAAGCTGTCTTTGTATCATATAGTATGTACAGACTTAGATTAAATTAATATATATACCGACTGTGAATGTGCGATCCATAGCATGTGTCCGAAAGTTAGCGAACCAGAGCAAGGGCCAGCGAACCATGCAGTTAATAGGTATGTTTACTACCATAATATTGCAGACGTGTTCATTTCCATTCCTTCATATTTTGAACGAAAACTAGTGAACCGCAAAATGTATACACTCGAGTACACATTTCCAATTCAAAACTTAACATAAAATACTATTTTATCAAAGTTGTTATTGTTTTATTTCCATTTCCATTAGATATAATTGACATCATATTTTATAAATACTAAATTGTATATTTTTATGTCTTCAAAATATTTCACTTCATTAATTTTGTTTTTAAAATTAATTACCTATTGAATGTTTTATTTTTAAAATTGTATTTTAAGAAAAAACAATCCGTAATTTATTTATTGCAATAAGCTTGTATGCAGAATATTATTTTATGTTTAATGGTTTTGTTTAAGAAACAATTTATTTACAAATCAACATCAACAATACTATACTACAGTAGGTATAGTACCTATACATATATTTATTATAATATGCGTTTGTGACGTGATGGTTTCTTAACCTTATCTGGGTCACGGGTCACTAAGGTATAAAATATAGACGTCATGAGCCTCTTTTTCGCCAAAAGAAATTTTTATGTGATTTAAAATCCACTATCCAGACTTATTAAAGAGATATGCAGTGGCGAATGGAATCAAAAATTTAATTTGCATGTATAAAATTCACCGAAATTTGAATAAATTTGAAATTTTTTGTTTGAAATCTTCCATTTCTTTTGATCTAAAATCAAAATCATAAAATCTAAAATCATCTTTAACGAAGTATGAATGTATGATTCATACAATCATACACGATATATATAGTGTTCACCAGAAAAGGATAAGCGTATCCATGTCTCCGCTTTTGAATAACTGTTCAAAATTTAAATGAAAAACGTACTTATTTTTGTTATAACTTATAAATTATAAATGCACTAAAAAGTTAAATTTGAATTACAAAAAAAGGGGAAAGTAGTTAACAGATTTGCTGTAGGTGCATTATATCTCGTTATCGAGTATATATTAAGTTATATTAAAAAATCAGAAATAACATAGGTATATTACACTGTATTTAGTTAAACATTGAAAAAAAAATTATTATAATATTTGATGTTTATACAGTTTTTCGGTGCATTTTCTTAGAAGTGTGAAACGTTTCACGTTTCTCGGCTGGAAGATGTTTAGACCACACACCGATGTAGATAAAATATTTTGCAAAGTGTAGTTTAGTTTGAGAATATTACACTGATATCATTCTACGTGATTTTAAAAAAACAATAAAATTATAATTTGTTACTTTTTTCTCGAATTATACCCGTAATGCCTTTTGTTTTGTTTTGATGTTTCATTGACATGTGCGTTTAATATGCGCATACTCTCTGATGAACTGACAAGTTCACACCCATACATCATTCACAACTGCATTATGTTAATACTTAATTGTAATATATTATATTACTGAAAAAAAAAAAACAATAACAATAATTTTCGATGTTGCAATTTACTAGTCATTATTTTTATGATTCCATATTTCCATTACCATGTTTTTTTTAATGACGAGGTACTATACATGCTTTGCCAAAAAAACATACCGAGTATTTGAAGGCCGTATTTCGTTAATGTTGGAGACCAAACATTTCGTTATGTGTTTTGTATTTATATTATACATATACATAATACGCCAGTATTTAAACGCTTGTCCTTGAGTAACAAATAAATTATATGTTCGTTTTGGTTTGGAAGTCTAATGAAAAGTTAAAAAGAAATTTTACACCTCTTTTTAGTGCTTCAAATAAAAATCAGTTTTATTTTCATATTTAGAAATAGTTTTGCGATGACGAATGACTAAAAAACCAGTTTTTACGGATGCTTATTAGTGATACATAATATTATATATTATAATAAACAGTAGGTACTAAAATATAGTTTTTAAAAGATTAAGGTTTTTTTTAAATACATTTTTTAAATGGATATCTATGTATTTTGCTATTTTAATAATATTATTTTGATATCTTTAGACCTTTATAGTTAATCTTAACTCTTAATGCACGATAACTCGTGTATAAATAATATTAGATATATTATAATATACAACTAAATTGTTTGTACGAATAGATGTGTATGCATTTTTATGTTTTTATTGAATATTCAAAGTTGGGTACCTAAGTTAGTAATTTTTCTTACTGATTTAAATTAAGTATTTTGAGATTCAGACTTTTTGGCAATAAAAAAAAATATTATCATCATGAATCAGAAAAAAAAATTAAAAAAGTTGAAAATTTTAAATTTCTATAGTTATACATTAATAGCTAAGGAAAAGTATTTATTAAATTATTTCATGTATAATAATGCTAATATAAAATAATATACTTTGGTGAAATATGTAGATACTAACTAATATACTTATATACACTATAGATTGAAATTATCATTAGCTTATTGCTTATACCTATATTTGATTAATAATGGTATGAAAGTGATTGGTGAACTCGCTGTAAAATTGTAATTATCATGAAATAACTGATGATATTGTTAATGGTATGTTATGACTTTGGTATTTTTTCCTCTATTTGTTTTCCATTAACAAAAACGGTTTATTTTAATTGATTTTCTGCCCTTATTGACCACAATATGTTACTTTTAAATTAGTTATAATAGCGTAAACAGTTATCACGCTTGAGTAATCAAATGTTTTACCGTTATGTTATTAATTTATTGGAATGTTTAAAAAATGTTTGTGTAAATATGGTCAAAAAAAGAGACCGTAAAAATTACGAATCCTTTAAATAAATGTAAGCAAAGTTTTATGCCTTGTGTAAAATTCGTTCCATAAATTGAGTTTGCCTGTTTGAATGAGTGATGAGTTTTTAATTTCTAATCATTCAGCGTTTTCGAAATCAATTCTCGGGGCTTGTAATTGATGTCATTATTGGAGATCTGATCAAATCTGAACGATATGGACAACATAATAATATGACGTGTTGCTGCACGACGATTGACGTTTTGGTTGTTGTTTCTCTGCTCGCGGTGATTGGGGTGAACAGTACACGATCAGAAACTGCCGTCGTAACGCGCATGTGTCTGTCGGCTCTGTCGAGATCAGAATCACGCATTAGTAAAATATTTTTACAGGTGTTTAGGGTATTCGCCTTTTCTGGTCGATTCGGAAGGTGAGAAGGCGTCGGATTGAAAATATCGTCGAAAGATCTGATCGTCTGAAAGCAACGTATGCCGATCGATAATAACAATAATAATAACAACGCCCGCAATCGACATAAACACGGCGTGCGGACGCACCGCACACAAACCAACCTTGCTCTACACAGATGACCCTCGGCCGCCACCGCCGCGCATTCTTGCCGGATTATTGGAATTCCACACCTGAACGACATGCGGTGCGTGCGCCCCACCCGAAGCGGCGGCGGCAACGGTAACCGGTGGGGCGCGAGACCGGTGTCGGCTCGGTCGGCGGTGGAGGCCCGGACCGTGGTTGCTAAGCCCGTACAACACGCGTGTCCCGTACAATAATATAGTCGTGCGCCGCGTACCGGTTCCCATACGTGCCGCCCGGCTGTACTGTTCTCTCGTCCGCGGACCGTATGTTTCGCGCGCGTATTTCTCCGATCACAGCCGCGGTCGTTTTTCGATACCGCTCGTCGCAGTATTACTACTACTACCACTACGACTACGACAACAACAACAACTACTACTACCACTGCTTACTAGGTACTACCACCGCCGCCACTACCATCACCAAGTCGGCGGCGTTTGTCGCCGGCACCGCTGCCCGCGCAGGTTTCCGTCGCGTTCGTTTTGAATGCCGTCGGTACGCGACCGCCGCCACCACCGTCGTCGTCGCCGCCGCCGCCGGAGACTGATCCGCCTGGAACCACCGCCGCCGCCGTCATGGGAATATTCCGGTGTCCTTTGATCAGGTTCAGTCAGCGGCGGGCCAGACAGCGCCGGCTGCCGGAAGAGACGTCGCCGCGATCGCCGCCTGAAGGCACATCGAAACCGCTGCACGACGGCGCGACAGTCGTCCCGGCGGTTCTCTCGTCGCCCTTACCGCAGACGCCGGCCGCCCGCACTACCATCCGCACTACCATCCGCACCACGACCCACAACGCCGCCGCATCTTTCGCACGCAAAGTCAGTATCACTTGTAATGATGTGTTGATGACGATTATTATATTATAATATACCTACCTAATAACGCTTTTCCAAATTGAAAATGTTCGCATCTCGTGTTTTGGGTGGGTAATCGGACGACAGAATGATTTTAGTTGTCACCTAGTATACAAGCATCCACCACTTAAGACGTTGAGAAATATTTCATAGAGATTTTAGTGTAGGTATACCTGGTGGTATTCGCCAACCTACAGGGCTATAAAGTATAAACCGGGAACAGAACATTATAGGTAACCCAAGAAACGCTTATTGGCCACCCTTTTTTAATCTTCAACCATTTAAATCGTCATCTTGGTGTGTGGTATAAAATATTATCGTGCACGCAGCGACTAAAATCTCTCAAATTTCGTACTCCACTAGTAGAATTGAAATAATATTTTATTTCACGGTATACGATTACAGTCGCACTGTCGCAGTTGAAAGAAATTTACATTTTTAGATATTTTTTTATGCCGTCATCAAATTTCGTATTCCACACGATTAGTGCTGCCACGGTCGTACTGCACACGATTTTAGGCCCTGCGTATGCGTCATCCGACTTATCGGTTTGTGTTGTTTCGTTTAAAAAAAATATTATATACGTCGACGGTTATTTGTTGCTTGTTGTGATTTAATCGTTTCAACTATCCGCCAAGTAGTCACAAAGCGAGTTTACGATACCTCATTTGTCAATTTATTAGCAACGCACTATAATAATATTATATATCCGAAACAATCGTAAATTGTATCTATAAACTGTCTCAGGTACACGTTAAGTATATATTTATTATATGACGAAAAAAAAACAAATTAATTGTTAATAATATTAAACATGGTCTCGACAATTCTTTTAACGTCTTGCAAACAGCATTTTTTAAGAGGAGAACGTTAGAATCTTGTTATATATAATATATATAGATAAAAGGTATCTATATTATTTCTATTTTAAATAAAAAATTTGTACAAGTTAGTTATCCTGTATAATGTATAATATTATCGTTTACTGCAGGTGAGGAGACGTAAAATCCGAATACGTTTTTGCAGTGGTAATTCCGGTTGATTATACATAGTGAATTGTTGTTTGATCAGTTTTATTCAGTAATAATTATATGTGAGTGTAGCATAGATATTCAAACCAAATGTCAAAAAACATGAAATACAATTTAAAATTAACATATAGTTTGATGCAAAAAGTTTTTTAATTTCGATTATAGGTAAACAAAACATGTACAGTGCTCATAGAATTGGGGAGGTGCTTCAATATTTTATATTAACGATAATTGTGTATTGAGTGTACGGAATATAATATGTACCTCATGATATATTTTTCTGAATTAGCATTTTAAATTGTGTAAGATTTGTGTTTACAAATGTAGTCTAAAAATATATAAAATACATAATTATCATGTAATTCTTAAAATATAATAATTACTATTTGTAACATAAAATTAAACATATGCACTATGATGCACTACGATATGTGTGGGATTTTGAATAAGTCGAAAAAAACGATTGATTTAAATTGTTGAACATGGAAACAACAACTCTGTTGAGTATTATATCGAATGACATTGTTACAAAGTGAGTGCATAAACGCACACTTGCAAAAATTGACTTACGATAATAAGGAGATTGACGTGTATTATTACTGCAGTCTACGATCGACTATTATAGTTACGTACTTACGTGCAATAATATTGCAAATATTTTTTACTTAACACAGTCCACAGATATGTGATGTAAAATGTCAACGAATACACTAATATTATGATAATATGTTATTTGGTTAAATAGTTTGGAGTGTTCCAATATGTATGTTGCACCCTGTATATTATGCACACATACACATAGCAATATATGCTTTGGAATTCCACGCCGACGCACCCCCGCCTCCCACCCAAGAACCCTCATTGCTGTTTAAAAATCCATTTGTATATCTTGACGGAGGTCCAGTATATTCGAAACCGGTTCCAACACGTGGTCCACGCCGCGGTAACCATCTGAGATTACCTTTTCCATGGGATTCCACAGCAGCCTGCAGTCTTTACTCGGCAGATTCGGGTCCATATGTTTGGTATTATTTCCCCTTCTCATTATTATACTACATACCTACTTTTTCTTTTTGGCGCCACACCGCGCGCCAATTCGCTATTCAATGTAGTTGTTCTACACCGGGGACTGAATGTATATTTAAGAAAAAAAAAATTATGTAGACAAACAGTTCATCTTCCATAAAAACTGAACCTTCAAATAATTTTAAGGCGATTCACTGGAATTGACCTTTTATCAATTGTAATGTTTACCAAATAATCTTTGTTCTATAACAGATCAAATTATACACGTTTTTATTGTAAAATTCGATTCTTATTACAAATTAACTATTATTATTTTATCTTGTTATTCTGTATTCAGCTGGAAGATTGTACAAATTATGCTCCATTAGTCGTTGCAGGATATTATTTTGTTTAATCGTTCATTTGAAAGTCGTATTTAGCAATAATCTAACGAATTATCTATTAAAAATAATATATTTTGTTTTTGCGGTTAAAAGGAGAAAGTAAAATATTGTGTGTAATTATAATACATTTTCGTAACTAATTCACTGCAGTTAAAATAATGTCAATCATGTTGTTTTTTTTACACGGTTCGTTGTCATTTTCACTTTTTTCCAATTTAACCACACGATAACGTATTAAACGTAAACTGCGTTTGTTATAGAAAGTGAATTTTGTCGTAGTCTTATAAATATTTATTTTCTATTCAAAATGGAGGAAAAAGTAATTTTTAACATCCAGCTAACATATATTCATTATTTTACAAAAAACTAAATGTATTTAAATAATTGTATAATTAATGTGATATTGTCTGTGTAAAGTTATTTATGTTTTAAGATACATTATAATTATTTGCATACATTTTTAAAAATTGATTAGCACTATACTTTTGTTTTGAGAATTTACTAATTGTAATATTGTAAATTAACTCTAATCGATTACATTTACACAAAAATATCGAGTTACTGTTATTTAATGGAAATCATTACTATTATATGATATTTTATGTTTCGTGTACAGTCAACAAAAAATGTATTATGGAAGTACCTTAATATTAATAGGTATACAGTCAATGTGAATAATTAAAAATTTTTATTGTAATACATTTCCATTTTTGCTAATTATTAAATTATTATTTCTTAAAGTTCCACCTATATATTGTTACCTACTAATTTTATTATTTTATTATTGATGTGTTATTTTAAATTGCAAGATGGTTTTAAAAGCTCGACAAGCTTGAATACTTAAACTTTGAAATTTAATTGAATAACTTATTTTTAATAAATATATAATGAAAAATAAAATGTTTGTATGCTTTGTGCTATATAAATATATTATAAATAAGTAATTGTTTACCTTACAATCACTATAAAATCATTATCTACACTTTATTTTAATAAAATTCTTTATTAAAAAAAAAAAATAGTCGTTTGATATTTGTTTGGAAGATGTGTTTTTATTAAGAGTTTTGAATTCTTCGAAGAAAGCGAGTTGGTACATAATTTACACAGAAAGTCGTTTTCACACGCAAATATGTATTTCTCTGGAAATAATCAAAAAGGTTGAGTATTTCCTGCAAAAAGACATGTCTAAATTTTAAAATAATGAGCTTCTATTTTTTATTTTTTAAACTAGATAGCTTTATTTCTAAAAAAAATATTAACCGTGTTGTATTATAGGTATAGACTGTTTTGATATGGATTTGAACACAGACTTTAAATTGTCAAGTAATGGATGTTATAGTTATAGACGTATTGTTAAAAAAAAATGATTTAACTGTAAAAGATAAAAACAGAAATTCCCAATTGTATGCATGTATATTGTATGTATATCGTATAACAACATTACATAGGTAACAATATTTCGTAGAAACTTTCTATGCCATTGAACATTTTGAGGTGGTTTGAATTTTTAATTACAAATAATATGCTATTTAAGCTGTCGAATAATAAATTTGTGAAATTGCATTATATAAGCTTTTGAACAGAGATAAATATATAAGTATTAGTAAAGTATTGTAATACTTTGTTTCATAAATAAGTTCACTTGGCAAACATACCAGGGGCGTAGAAATTTACCACAGCTTATGAATATGTTCAGTAAGCTTAGCGTCCTCAAATAATACTTTGATAATCATTCTAAATTTTCAAATTGTTATTAATTATCTTAATCAACTAAATATTTGTAAGAGTGTATAATATGTCCATTAATTTGCTATAGTAATACCACTGAAATTAGCAAATTTTAGATAACCTTAATTAAATTTTATTTTAAACATAGAATTTCAATCATAAATTTGATAAATAAAAATTACAAAACTTTATTTATATGAAATAATTAAAAATATTTGACACAACGCCTACCCCTGATAAAATAATTTATTAATATAGATATATTTTTTTTATCTCAATGCTATTTAAACATTTATAATACGAGTTAAAATTTTAAAAATAATTTCGAATTTAAAAAATTTTTTTATATAATTTCAAACGGGCCAGGCCCAATTATATAAGTAAGACAAAAAACAATCATTCAATATTGGAATGATAAATCTAAAATATAAAAAAAAAATTGCCATCGATAAATCAAAATTTCATTGCAATATATGTCTATTAAATCTTAGTTTGAATCATTCATTTTTCTTTTGTCACCTCACAACCTATTTTATAGAGTTGAAACAACACAGATACGTTCTGCATCTCCATTGAATTATACGAGGGGGTAATTGCACCCCATATTTCCACCAATTGTTGCCTATGCTTTGTTCATATATTTAGATAGAATAATATTGGTGTTGTACTTAGTGTATAGTTAATTTTTTCAATACTTAAACTATTTATTTTCTTCGATTTTAATAAATATTTTCTATTACATACTTTACATTACTAAAGTTATCTCTTAGTGTCTACTTTATAGATGGTATGGATA